GTTCAAGTGATTCTCCTGTCTCAGCCTCCTGAGTAGCTGAGATTATAGGCACTCATCACCATGCCTGGCTAATTTTTGTATTTTTAGTGGAGAAGGGCTTCCAGCTTGTTGACCAGGCTGATCTGGAACTCCTGACCTCAGGTGATCCACCCGCCTCGGCCTCCCACAGCGCTGGGATTACATGCATGATCCACTGCACCCAGCCTGCTTTTCTTTACATAAGAAATAAGGGATTAGCCACCCAGATAACCAGAGGTAAAATATGGGCTACTTTCTTATTAGATGTAAATTTATCACTGCCAGAAACCATGGCTCAAATAGGAATGGAATTCCTGAAAAGCTCTTAAAACTATGGTTTAGGCTAGTTTCTATGAGAATTGTCTTTCCCCTTGCTGCTTGTTCATGTGCTCATAGCCAAGCAAATACTGACTCTTACTGCATGCATGACAATGACCTTGGGGTATCTTCATTCTTTTTTTACAAGTTTTATACTACTGATTTATACAGAAATATTGGCTTGTCAATATGCAACACAATCTGTGTGGGAATTCAGTGAAATTTATAGGTTTTTCTTGTTGCTGCTGCTTGATTTCCTTTGCTTTCAAGTAAAGGCATTTGTTCTTATATTTCATCCAATTTTACGTTGAGACTTGCTTTTTAGTCACCAATATTTCCTAAACTGCAGTGCTGCCATTTGCTTTTATAGACCGCAAATAAGGGATAAGAATCTACTTAGCAATATTTTTCTTGGCATTTTTTTCCTGCTTTGTGCCAGTATTCACTTAAGCCAATAAATTTCTTTTATTTATGTGATTTTTATATTTCACAGAGCTAATGGACTATTATTTTATATTTCAAACAGTTTTCTGCTACATTCCAATATAGATTATGATGTATCTGCATGTGTATAGTAATGCGTTTCCTCCATAAAACCTCTGTAATATCACTTTCAATGAATCTACTGTAAAAATCACGCAGAGCCTCCTACAAATATTCCACATTAAATAAGAAAGTTTTATGTTCTGATATGCCTTGAATGTTAGCAAATAAAATACCTGCAATTTGTTCTTAAAGGTGCCATGAACGAGTGAAATGAAACTAGTATTTGCTGTACACAGGGGCCTCTTTAAGTAAAATGTTTTATTTAACTTTCAAGAAAACACACACACACACACACACACACACACACACACACACACACATATAGTTATACTGGAACCTAAAAACTTGAAGGACTATGCAAAGCAAAGATCCATCATTCAAAAGAAAGTCCACCACCCTAAGAGCTGGGAAGAAGGTCTCCAGGGAGCTGAGACCCAGATGCTGAGAAGGTGAAATTGCCCAGTGGATCCTGATATCATTGAAGCTTGTGCTGAGGCTGGTCTTGGAAAGGAGGAAGAAGGTGGAAGCTGGGATCAATGACTGCTGCCAGCCTGGAGGGCCATTTGCTGGGGTGGTATAGGGGAACAACAGGAAAGTCATAAAAAGCAAGACCCTTTTTCCCTTCTAGCCGCAAGGTCTCCCTAGTGCCCGTAATGACAGAGCCCAACAGAAAGCAGCCGTCAAAGCAGAGGGGCAGTTTGCAGAGCCCCAGCCCTGACATCAGGGTGTGGAAGGGTAGGTCCGGAGCTGAGGCAGCACCTTCAAACCAGCACAGATAGTTCCACCTTCAAAATGTCACATTTTATGCACAAGGCTTTTTGTTTTCTCCTGCATGTCTTAGAGATAAGCAAATAAAACACTTCTGGATGGTTTAGAAATGATTCCCAATGAGTAAAATAGAACTGGCATTTATTAAGCACAGATCGCTCCTTCATGAACCCAGAAAATTAATGAATCAGTTCTGAGCTGTGTATGTTATGATCGCCATTCTCAGGTGAAGGAAGCCCAGCTCAGCAGGTGGTATGACTAGCCCAAAGCTACACAATTAAGAAGCTGCAGACCCAGGACTGCCTGCTTCCAAGTCGAGGATATGTTCTCACTCCTGGTACTGGCTGCTACAGAACAGAGGCTCGACTCTGTGATCTGGGCTTTATTATACTTGCGACTTTTAGTAGGATTTCGGATCCTGGTGCCTACGTTCTGTGCTCAGGTGTTTGATAAATTAAGGAATGTCAAGATTCTGAAAGGCACACGGTATTGAAGATAAGACCTGAGAAGTTAGCAGGGCACGCACATGCAGAGGAGCGTGTCTTAACACGACAACATTCACATCTTTTATCAAAGCTCCATTTATTTATATTTCATCAATTATCTTCAATGAGAAGGCATCTTACAACTAATCCATCTTGTAGGCAGCATTAGTTTTTCTTAGTGGTATATAAAATAAAAGTCTGACCAATACTAGCATCTTACATCTAATGAAAAATGACACAGTGTTTATTATAACCCTTTTCAGAAAGATGGCCGTCAAACTCTTTAAGGAAGGGGTGCCTTTTCTAATTTTACAAAGGTACCACATGGACAGGTAGCTGCCTGGGGAGTCAAATATTATACATTTTGAATATGGATATTTTTGCAGTGGAATAAACCTAACATGTCAATAATGTATCTTCTATTTGTGATTACTAATAATTAATGTAATTTGGGATAAAAATAGGCTGGGTGTGGTGGTTCACGCCTGCAATCCCAGCACTTTGGGAGGCTGAGGTGGGCAAATCACAAAGTCAAGAGATTGAGAGCATCCTGGCCAACAGGGCAAAACCTTGTCTCTACTAAAAATACAAAAATTAGCTGAGTGTGGTGTCACATGCCTGTAATCCCAGCTACTCGGGAGGCTAAGGCAGAAGAATTGTTTGAACCTGGGATGTGGAGGTTGCAGTGAGCTGAGATTGCACCACTGCACTCCAGCCTGGGTGACAGAGCAAGACTCCATCTCAA